TCATTCAGGTTGAGATGCAATTGCTTGCTTTCTTTATGCTTCAAGTTGTGCCCTTTAGCTCACTTTTGCGATTATCTGCTCGGGGAATTTATGCTCTAACATTGTAAAGTCCAATTCTTAGTTCTATGTTTTTCTTTCCTACTTCCTTTTTTGCCCTTCTTTTATATGTTTAATTGAGGTAGTTATATGCATGTACTGTTGCTGGTGTCCAATTATCTTTAGGCCTAATTTGCCTGCTTTTCTCCTGTGTTTATACGCAGATCTTCGGGATGATAAGCAATTCTTCATAGACCACCCCGGTGCTGTGCCAATTACTACTGCTCAGGTAAGCATAACTAGCACTCTTACCTCTTTTTGATTGCTTTTCTTGTGCTTTTTGTCCAATTTCATTTGAATTCTCTTATTTTAACCTTTAAGGGTGAGGAGCTAAGGAAAACTATTGGTGCACCTGCTTACATCGAATGTAGTTCAAAAACACAACAGGTATGTCTTCTCCACAGCATCTATTTCTTGCACCGGAGATCCTTTTACGTACTTCTTGTTGATGCCTTTGGTTGATTGTCCGCGCTCTGCAGAATGTGAAAGCAGTCTTTGATGCAGCCATTAAGGTCGTCCTCCAGCCGCCTAAAACAAAGAAAAAGAAGGGGAAATCACAAAAGTCCTGCTCGATATTGTGATCAAACTGTAGGTCCAAGCGATATTGCTGGCCACAATTCTCGTTGTAATCCCTCACTCGTATCCTTTTATCTTCCTTCGTCTCAGAGGAAGTACGAGGTCATCGTTTGTCTTATATTTGAAACTACTAACCATCTCTTGGAAATATCAGGTGGCTTGGTTTTTCTGTATCATTCTGGTCTCTAATTATTTAAGTCACAGCACCTTGTAGTAGGCCACTCTAGTGTGTCCTTTGTTTTGATTTGCTTTATGTATTAACTACTGAATGATCCAGTTAGGGAGCAATTTTTTTCTTTTCGAATGTTGGTGCTTCTTGTTTTTTTTTTTTTGTTTTGAATCTCAACGTATTTTTAAATACCGATTGAACTCACGGAATCGAAGAAAAACCGAGATGATTGTGATGGTTTTGAAAGGTCTAATTTTGGTTATGCAAAATAGAATAACTGAAATATTAGAACCGAACTGTTGACACCCCTATAGGTATCCTTGAACTGTAAGGGGTTGTTTGGTATGGTAGATAAGCAAAAATAATCTTGGATAAAAATTTAGTAACATCTTATCCTTTATTTGATTACTAATTTTGGGATAAGTTATCCCAGGATTAAAAATAGTATCGGGATAACTCATACATGCAGAGGTTGGAATAATAACCCTAGGATAAGTTATTTCAGGATAAAACAGTAAAATTGACAATCCAAGGATTAGTACAACATATCAAACAGTCAAAAAGAAATAATATCAAGATAGCTATTTTCAGCATAATTAATTTCAGTATAACTAATCTAGCATAACTAATCCCAACAATAACTTGTCTTCAAATCAAACGGCTCGTAATAGCCTGTTTGGCCAAGCTTCTAAAACCTGCTTATTTTGAGAAGTTCTTTTTTAAAAGTACTTTTCAAAAAAGTACTTTTGGTGGGAAGCGGTTTATGTTTGACTAATTAATTTGAAAAGCACTTTTAAGGAACAATTAGTGTTTGGCCAAACTTTTAAAAAGTGTTTCTACGCGTATTTTTTTCCAAAAGTGTTTTTCAAAAAAGTGCTTAGGGGAAGAAACTCCCTTTTTCTGTTTTTCGAAAACTTCTTCTGCTTCTACTCAAAAACACCTTTTTTCCTTCAAAAAGCTTGGCGAAACACCTTAACTTTGAAAAAAAAAAAAGTAATTTTGGCCGAGAAAAAAGCTTGCCAAACATGCTATAAGTTTGGTGTGAGTTGGAGTTTTGTCGACTTTTTTTAACTTGGCCTGATTATGACGCTTCTCTACTAGCTTTCATCTCTTCTTTTCTTTTTTCTTTATTTGAAGAGAAAAAGAATATATTTGTGAAGCTGAAAAAACCAAAAGATAGATATGCCAATTCAATATAAACTCCTTGGCCTTCATCATGTTGTATATTTAATTTAAGAATATTAAATAGGAATGTTGTCTTTACAGACATGGCCACGAAGTGGCAAAGTTGATTGCCACTCATTGGCTACTTGATTAGATTCTCCTTTGTCATAGCTCATAAGCCGCTAAGGTTCATTGCATATTTTTTCTGGAGGACACTTGTGACACTCCTGTTAAAAGAATTCAGAATAAAAAGGCTAACTTTGCCGGTTTTTGTTCCTATTGCATTCTATCATTCCTATCACGCGAGATTAAAAAATTATCATCAAAATCTTGGTTTAGGTCCGAGATAATCCTTTATTCTATAAACAGCTAGCCATTAAAAAGTCTCGGATGTACTAACGTTATCATCGCCTGAGATGTCACTATTGCCCCACTAGGACTAGGATGATCATCACCACTTACGCTTCACATCTCGTCAGCATGAAACGTGTAAGACCAACTATTACGGAGTTTGTTTTTAAAATTAGAAGTAAAAAATTGAATTCGTCTTAAGATCTATTTATCCTATTTACCTAAGAGGATAGTGCAATGCATGTGTTATGTGATAGTATGTTCATTTCAATTGGTAAAGTAGTTACACGTTAACATCAAGTGATCTGTAATTCCTTCAAAAGTCACATTGGAGATTCAGCTTTGTGGTCAATGAAAAGCATAATTGAAATGCGAAATTAAAATTGACAGAGAAAGGTGGCAGTAAGAGTTTATTTGATATACGGCAGTCTTTTACTGATAATTTTTTAGTTCCTTTTTCTTAGGAATTGTTTGGTTGGTATAATTAGCAAAACAATCTCAACATTCAAATCCATTTTACCATGGGAACCTTTATCATGTATTAATTAATACAATGTTTGGTTTCAGGGGCGAATTTATAATATAATATACAAGTTGGGTTCATGTATACCTAGTAACTTTTGCCCAAATCCTGTATAAGTATTAAGAAATTAACTTAATATCTATAAATATTTAATTATGAATCCTATTACTGTTAGGGGTGTGCAATATTCGGAATAAACCCAAGAGTCAAATGAACCAATTTGTTTTGCTTAATTTAGATGGTTTCTGATTGAGATTTTAAAAATTTTGGTTTTTTGTTTGGTTTTTGATTTAACAAAATAATGATAAAAAAAATCAAATCATACTATATATATATATATATATATATATATTCCTATTTAACGTTTAGCATTAAGGGAGTTAGAATTTAAGTGTTTTACCACTTTCAGTTTTTCTTACTTACTGGCCCTTTTTATTAGGGTATAAAGCAGCCTCAATCTCTTAATTAGGGGTATAACGCAGCCTCAATCTTGTTATTAAGCTTCCATCTAAAGAGTACAGACCCCTGAATCTCTCACGTCAAATTCTGCTTGGTAAATAATAAGTTCTATTTTTATTTGGTATTGCTATTTCTTGTTTGTTTATCATTAGATTATTAGTTGCAAAAGTTCAGGTATTAATGCGTGCATATGGAGTATATCAAGTTGTGATTAATTATATTAATTTACTTGCTTAGTTGCTTTGGGCAAGATCAAACCCCAGAATCAATAAAATAAGTACCATGTCGGCGGAGCTAGAGTAGTTGGTACGAGTTCGGATGAAAACAATATATAGTTTTTGCTTAGATTCTGTATTTATATTAGAAAATTCTCTAAATATAACAAACCTTAATATCACATCAGCTTGTGATCCATAAAAATTTAAGCGTTAACGTAACTGATCTATACGAAAACATCTTGTTTATAACAAAACTTAGTTGCTAGAAATATGACCATTCTATCAAGAATAGTGTCCACCTCCAATTGAAATTTGAAAGAGATGTAAAACCACAACACAATTAAACTAAAATAACATATCTCTTCCAATCCTCCTTTTAATTTAGTAGCAGACTTCTCTATGAGCTTTGTTTGAATCAGGATCCCAAAGCAACAAACAAATAAAGCTATTGTCATTCATTACTCGAAAAAGAAAGTACAACATATCAAAGAGCGATGACACAAATTATCAGTGATCTCCTACTGATTCACAAACCAACTTGTGTTAAGTGTTCGCATAGCGACTAAGGTCCCCAGGAGAACGTCGAGATGCCATCAGTTTAAGGGGAATCCTTCGTTTGAGGAAAGAGATGATAAATTGATCAGTCATGAAAAAAATCAGTTTGTCCCCGAAAATGCCCGGTACTTTAGCGTAGGGGACAAGTAAGATTATTATTTGGTTTATCCGCCGAGCCCGAGGTTGCGCCCATTCCACGCGAGGTCCTCGTTCAGAGAGAGGAAAATCTGCAAAAAAAAAAAAAAAAAAAAGCTGCACTTCAAGTTTATACCTTAAATGCACGTTCGATTATAAACTTTACAGTTATGTTTTAATAAATCTCTAAGAAAATGTAGATTATGGTCTAATCTGTCAGCCACATAATGATCAATGCGATCATATAATTTGCAATAAAATTTACTCCCAATTTTATCAGCCTTTTTAGAGCACATCTTGCACCCCAAATATGACTAATGTTGTTGAAGTCTATATGTACTATTGCCACAATAATTTAGATAATTCCTTCCTAGATAAAAAAAAAAAATCAACAAAAATAATGTGTGCATAACACACGCACCATGATTTAATTATGAAATTAGTAAACTATTGTACTCACACATAGAACAAACAATTCTCTATTAGTTTTAACTTTTACAATTCAAAAGCTAACCCATTCGAAACTGAACAATTATGTTGAAAGGAAATTTGACGTAATCTTCTCAGAGTTATCCCCACGCACACAAATCATTCTACATTTATTCAAATTTGTAATAGTTTTAAATATAATCAAATTCTCAACTTTTGCTAAACATATAAATAGAATATAGAGTATAGGAAACCTGGATTCATAATTAACAACTTAAGAAAGTTCAGGATTAATCTACAGTGCACGAAATATTTACTTATTAATCATATATTGTTATTTATACATAAGTAAACTCAAATGTAATGCATAATTTGAATTCCTTAAAATTTATGAGCTCGTATGAGCTGCAAAACCACAATGATACACTTACCCATAGTTCAAGTGTAGCAAGATTTGATCTACAAATTCTCCCCAAATAGTTGCTGAAATATTGTCCATCCGACATGAAAAAACCTTAATCACGAGAAAAGTAATCATCTTGAATTATTATAATTAATTTTAATCATGATCACGAGTTCCTCAAGCTCCACGTTCATAAAAAAACAGTGGCCATACCACTTTGCTTGTGTGATTGTATATCTCCATGACTAACAATCTCTCCTATTGATATCTTCCACATTTTAAAACTATAATCATCATAAAATTGATAAAACATTCATACTAAATACAATGTGAAAGGAGTAATTACAGAATATAGTCACTCTCGTCAACATCAATTTGACTTATCAACTGCTTGAATGTGACACATTCAGTAATTATTCTTTCACATTTTACTTAGTTTAAATATTTTATCAACTTTATCATGGTTACTTTTTCAAAATGTGATAGACCGTCATATGAGATGAAGATGTACAATCATACGAACAAGGTGATATTACCAGTATTATTATGAATGCGGAGCTCGAAGATCATGAGTAAGCTCGCGACCATGATTAGAATTAATCATATACTCTCTCCGCTACACAATAAGTGACCAATTTACTTTGGGCACATCCATTAAGAAAATACAAAAATTCTAGACAAAAATAGTTGGTGTGACTAAACTACCCTTAATTAAATGTTGCAATATAGTTAATGTGAGGAGTAAAAGACTTTTTATGGATACGTACATAAAGGTAACTTTGGAAAAATAAATTGAATTTTTTCTTGATTATATAAATGGACACTTATTTTGAATCAAAATAAAAAAGCAAATTGGTCACTTATTGTGGACCGGAGGGAGTATCTCAAGATGGTTACTTT